TCAGATCAGAGGTCATCAGATAAGAGATCATCAGGTCAGAGGTCATCAGATCAGAGGTCATCAAGTCAGAGGTCATCAGGTCAGAGATCATCAGGTCAGAGATCATCAAGTCAGAGGTCATCAGGTCATAGATCATCAGGTCAGAGGTCATCAGGTCATCATAGATCATCAGGTCACAGATCATCAGGTCAGAGGTCATCAGGTCATCATAGATCATCAGGTCAGAGGTCATCAGGTCATCATAGATCATCAGGTCACAGATCATCAGGTCAGAGGTCATCAGGTCATCATAGATCATCAGGTCAGAGGTCATCAGATCAGAGGTCATCAGATCAGAGGTCATCAAGTCAGAGGTCATCAGGTCATCATAGATCATTAAGTCAGAGGTCATCAGGTCAGAGGTCATCAGGTCATAGATAATCAGGTCAGAGATTATCAAGTCAGAGGTCATCAGGTCAGAGGTCATCAGATCAGAGGTCATCAGATCAGAGGTCATCAAGTCAGAGGTCATCAGGTCATCATAGATCATTAAGTCAGAGGTCATCAGGTCAGAGGTCATCAGGTCATAGATAATCAGGTCAGAGATTATCAAGTCAGAGGTCATCAGGTCAGAGGTCATCAGGTCAGAGGTCATCAGATCAGAGGTCATCAAGTCAGAGGTCATCAGGTCAGAGGTCATCAAGTCAGAGGTCATCAGGTCATCATAGGTCATCAAGTCAGAGTTCATCAGGTCAGAAATCATCAAGTCAGAGGTCATCAGGTCAGAGATTATCAAGTCAGAGGTCATCAAGTCAGAGGTCATCAGGTCAGAGGTCATCAGGTCAGAGGTCATCAGGTCAGAGGTCATCAGTGAAGGTGTGCTACCTGTGGTACTGCTGTCTGTTCTCCACATCGTTGGTTGTGTGGTTGACTGCAGTTTGTGGAGAACGGATGTTTCCCTCACAGGCTCCCTGAAACAGACTGGATCAGTACTTCCTGTTGGTCCACCTGTTGGTGATGTTCTGGCCCCACCCCCTCTGTACCTGTGCGATCAGTAAGGCCTCCAGCAGCTGCCCCCTGCTGCTGAAGAACGTCACCAGTTTCTTAATGTCTCCAGTGGCGATGCAGTACGGGATGGCGTCATCGTTATCTTCAGCCATCARTTGATCGGCTCGCCTGCAAGAGAGTCACAACAGCCGTAAAACTTCTTTAGCTTGTTTTCATATCAGCTAAAGAAGTAAAGAAAACATGATTGTGTTCACCTCTGCATGAGTTTCTTCCAGTACTTCATGGAGACTCCTGGAGCAACAGATAAAGCCTTCTCCCACTGAAAGACACACAAGGGTTCTGTCACACAGAACCAGAACCAGAACCAGAACCAGACCTATGAGTTTCATGAACCACAGACCTGTCCCAGCTCCACCATCAGCTCACAGTATCTCTGGATCTGTCCCAGTCTCAGGTGAATATCTGCTGCCTCCTTCAGACGCTCCTCCTTACTGGGAGCTCCGATTCCTCCTCCGAACTTCGACATTTTTACTATCGTCAGCTCCTGGGCCTCAGACTGAGCATTAGGACAAACAGCCGAAACAGTCAGGATATATTTGAATTAAACAGCTGAAATAGTCAGGATTCATTTCAATAAAACAGATGAAGCCTTATTTTGTTGCAGCTCTGAGTCTAGTTGCAGTGATCTGATTGGTGATCAGCCTGACGTTTGGGCGGAGCTTGTGTTTTTGTGTGTGTTTGTGGTTTCTGTTAGAGGACTCACAGTTTTAAACTTGACCAGATGTTTCATGTGCATCAGACCCTTGCTGTAGCTGGACGGCAGCAGAGAGTCGTCCTGACCGTTGATGACAAACACCAGGTCCCACAGGTTACTGCTGCCCCCTGGAGGCTGGAGGAGGAAACACAGGTTACTGCTGCCCCCTGGAGGCTGGAGGAGGAAACACAGGTTACTGCTGCCCCCTGGAGGCTGGAGGAGGAAACACAGGTTACTACTGCCCCCTGGAGGCTGGAGGAGGAAACACAGGTTACTACTGCCTCCTGGAGGCTGGAGGAAACACAAGTTACTGCTGCCCCCTGGAGGCTGGAGGAGGAAACACAGGTTACTGCTGCCCCCTGGAGGCTGGAGGAGGAAACACAGGTTACTACTGCCCCCTGGAGGCTGGAGGAGGAAACACAGGTTACTACTGCCCCCTGGAGACTGGAGGAGGAAACACAGGTTACTACTGCCCCCTGGAGACTGGAGGAGGAAACACAGGTT